AGCCATTTCTCCAGGCTTTTCTTTCTTTCTTGGGAAGACTTTTTTTAAATTTTTATTTATGTGTATGGCTGTGTATCTGTAACAGTGTGTGGATACCTACAGAGAGCAGAAGGCATTGTTAGACCCCTTGGAGTTGGAGTTGCAGGCATCTATGAACTGTCCTGTTGTGGGTACTGGAGTCCAGCTCCTGATGTCTGATAGAGCAGGAAGCTCTCCCGAATGAACCGTCTCTTCAATCCCTTATTTATTTCTGAGTCAAGGTCTCACTGTGGGTCAAGACCCTCTTGCTTCCCCTTCCCAAGTCAAGGATTACAGGTGTGTACCACTACACTCAAACAGAAATTTAAAATAGGCAAAGTGAGTATGAAAGCAAACAGAATAGCCAGGCTCCATCTTATGAGACAGTTCTTTCTTTCTAGGTACTTTTATTTGCTTGTGTAAGCTCAGTGACTAAATCTAAATTGAATCTCCACAGAGATTCTCAATCAGGTGATCAGCCCTCCTTCTCCCTATAGCCTTGTTTCTAGAGAAAGAAGTCTCTGTACCAATTTTAAGCAAATATGAAAAAGATGAGTTTAGTAGGGTAGGCAAAACCCTGTTGTTGTTGTTGTTGTTAGCATTTGTTCTAGTCTTCTTTCTGTTGTTGGTATAATACACTCTGACCGAAAGCAACCGAAAGGAAGAAGAGGATAATTTGCACACTTCTAGTCACAGTTCATCATTGGGGGAAGTCGGGCAAGAATTCGAGTAAGGCCTTGAGGCAGAAATAATGGGGAAATGCTGTTTGCTAGCTGCTGCTTAGCTGGTTTTCTTTTTTTGTTTTGTTTTGCTTCTTTCTTTCCAGACAGGGTTTCCCAGTAGCAATGGAGTCAGTCCTGAAACTTGCTCTGTAGACCAGGCTGGCCTCGAACTCACAGAGATCTGTCTGCCTCTGGAGTGCTGGGATTAAAGACATGTACCACCACCGCCTGGCTTAGCTAGCTTTCTTATGCATCTAGGACTATCTGCCTAAGAAATGGTGCCATTCACACGGGGCTGAGTGCATCTGTATCAATTATCAATCAAGACAGTCCCCCCAAAGAGATGTCCACGTGCCTTTCTGATCTGGGCACGCTCCCTATCAAGGCCTTCCTCTCAGATGTCTCTAGTCTATATCAAGTACAACTAAAACCAAGGTGACAGCAGGCTTATTTGCATTCTCTGTTCTACTCATGCTTGGGTGCTAAAGATCCACAGTGTTTGGCCTGGTAACTTAACCTGCTGCTGCATCTCAAGACAAGTAGAGAAGTCTGTACCTTGATACAGATTTCAAGTAGTGCTGTGATTATGCAGGGCTCAGGAATAACTGAAGATTGGGCCATCTAGTGAATGTTTGCTTAGACTTTGTGGTTTTCAAGGATAATGTAGTACTTCTGCAGATAAGTAGACTTCAGCCACAGAAGAAAGAAAACCTAATATGAACTTCTACTCAAAACAGGACTGCATAGGAATGCTATGTAGAAGTTTTTAAATCCCAATATAAACAAGGATAGGATGTAAAAGAAGGTTAGCTTCTTTGTTTAATGGAAGAGTATAGAATTAAGGAACTACTGCATTTGTGGAACCTGTGTCCTTGGCTTTCTGTATTCTTGGCTTTCAGCTTCCTTTTTACATATGTGATGCAGGTTGTTGTCTTGTGTCTAATGATCTGGACCCTTCAAATTTGTGTGTGTGTGTGGCTTTTTTTTTTTTTTTTTTGGTTTTTCGAGACAGGGTTTCTCTGTGGCTTTGGAGCCTGTCCTGGAACTAGCTCTGTAGACCAGGCTGGTCTCGAACTCACAGAGATCCGCCTGCCTCTGCCTCCCTAGTGCTGGGATTAAAGGCGGAGTGCTGGGATTAAAGGCGTATGCCACCACAGTCTGGCTCAGGAACTCTCTATATAGACCAGGCTGGCCTCGGACTCATAGAGATCTAGAGATCTGCCTGCCTCTGCCTTCCAAATGCCAGGATTAAAGGCATGTGCCACAACACCTGACTTTTCAATTATATTTTTTAAAAAATTTACTCAAGCCAGACATGGTTATCTGTGCCCCTAATCTTAGCACTTGGAGACTAAGGCAGAAGAATCACTCTAAGTTCAAGGCCAGCCTGAGTGACACAGTGAGACCCTGCTTCAGTTAACAACAGCAAAAGCCTGGAGATGACTTAGTGGGTAAGAGCTATTGATATTCAAGCTTGAGGACCTGAGTTTAAATCCTCGATTTAAAGACTAGATCTGTCCACATGTACCCCTGTAACCCTGGCACTATGGGGAGCAGAGATGGGAGAATTGCTGGTGCTCGCTGGCCGTCATATCAGCTCCAGATTCAGTAAGAGATCCTGTGTCAAGTGAATAAGGATCAAACAGACCCCAGTGTCTTCCTGTGTACATATATGCCACACACCTGTACATACATGTACATACACACACACTTCAAACGGGCATATGCAGTTGGTTGGCTTCTATAACTGAGACGTCTGAAGAGTTCTGTTTTCCTGTATAGTAGCTTAATTTGGGGGTAGCCATTTTTTAGATGGTGTAAATGTGACAGCTCTGGGCTTGTGTTTTACTAGCCTAGCAACACGAGAAGGAAGAGTTCCCTTCTCAATAGAGTTAGCCAGAAGTCCAAAGACAATGTTCACTGATTCCTATAACCCTTGATAGGATCTTTTGCCCATTCATGGATCAGTCACTTTGTCCTCTATGCCCTTTCCTGGAGCTGGTGGATGAGATCAACACATCTGGACATATGTCTTGAGTGGAATTGATACTCAGAGGAAAAACCAAGGGTGTCGTGTTGAGGAAAAAGATGGTACTATTCCATAGACAAGATATCAAGAGTTCACTATAGTTTTTGCCGTCTTTTAGAGTTCAGGATACCTTGGTGGGGCACCTGAGGTAGTGAGCCAACAATGAGACAGTTTAGGGTGGCACCACATGAACTAGAGATGAACTAAGCTGAACCAGTGGCAACATTGGAGAAAGCCTCTCAAGGACCGTTCGTTCCAACATAAAATATATTTTCTATTAAGCTCAAATAACATGGCAAAAAAAAAAAAAGGAAAGGAAAGCAGCATCTAAGAGTTCATTTCCTTAGAGTGGTAGGAAAGCCCAGGACCATCCTAAGAGGAGGTCAGACTGGCTAGCTGTCACTGTGGCTAATTAGCTTTTAACTCTGGGGCAGGAAATTTAACAGAGGCCATGAAGCAACTCATAGAAATACCTCAGAAGTGCCAAGAAGTGATATAAGCTCTCTTCCTCCAGTAATTAAGGGTAACTTTTCCAATTTGTACTAGCTTTTGTTAATGTGATTTTGTAAGGGACCTTACTTCCATGAACTGAAGGTAAGCTAAGTGTGGAAATTTGTTCCTATAATCTCCGCACTGGGGAGGCTGAAACAAGAGGATCACAAATTCAGGCCAGCCTTGGAAAGACCATGCATGTAATGGTGACACACTCCTGTAATTCTAGCACTCAGGAGGAAGAGACAGGAGGAGCATGAGTTTGAAGCTAGCCATCAAGTTCCAGGAAAGCTTTGGCTTTATAATGAGGCCTGTCTCAAAAATACAGACTAATAACTAAAAGTAGATTGAATCTTCTTCTCCCTATCCTGTCCCCTTATCTTTGAGGTGTTATATCTATTTTATGTTAGACAGTCTACCTGACAGTTGAATTTGTTTTTTAAATATAAAAAATAGATAAGCAGTAAAAATTAGTATAGGAACAAAAAAAAAATAGTCAAGCATGATGAACTCTAGTAATCCCAGCACTCTGAAGGCTGAGGCAGGGGGATTATGAGTTCAAGGCCAACCTAGGCTATATAGTGAGATCCTATCCCATTTTGACAGAAAAGAAAAACATCAAATAAGAATGATAAATTTTAGTTGAAAAAGGTTCTGTAATTTTTTTTGTTTTTATTAATTTTATTTTTATGTGTGCGGAGTGTTTGCCTGCTCTTATCTCTGTGTACCATGTGCATGTCTGGTGACTGTGGAGACCAAAAGAGGGCTTCAGATGCGCTGGGATTAGAGTTACAGACAGTAGTAAGCTGCCATGTGGGTGCTGGGAATTGAACCTAAGTCTTCTAGAAGAGCAGCTGGTACTCCGAATCAATGAGCCATCTCTCTAGCTCCAGATCTGTAGTTTTAACCTATCAGTAGAATTAGGTTACTTAATATACACGAGAGACCTGCAAACATACAGCTAATCCTATTCTGGCCTTGATTCAGCGTTCCAAATCTGAGTGTCAAGACAGGCGTGGTGTTTCATGCTTGTAATCCTAGCATTTAAGTGTTTGCAAGATTAGGAGTTCAAGGTTCTTCTCACTACTTAGTGAGCTTGAGTGTGTGTCACCTCCCCATGTAATATGAAAGCCTACCTTTTAGAAAAGAGTTTGCCCTGGGTTCCTGTGTAGCTAAGGAATTCCCAGCTTCAGCGCTTTGTAGTGGTCTTGGCAGGTACCACCTTGTTCTCTGCATGTGAATGAAGACTAGTCTGCTGGCTTAAAAACTTACGGGAAAGCATAATTCTTGTGGTATGTCTCAGGCCTATAGTTACTGTTAATGGAGAATTGCAATCACTGACTGTTTGAGCCTTTTGAGTTTTAGCTGTGTCCGGTTGGTAGGTAGTGTAACCATCTTACCAAATATGTCTTGAGTTTGGGAATAGGAATTGGCATGTCTTAACTTCAAAACATTTCAAAGGCATAGTGCTCAAGAAATGGGAAAAGAAACAATGATGGGTATACTACAGTGATTGTGTTGTCTGCCCTTCTGAATCTAACTCCTGTCCTTTGCATAGCCCCTCCCCCTAGGGCTGGATGGAGAATACCTTAAAGTGAAATGACAGACCAGGAGAATAACAACAACATCTCAAGTAACCCCTTTGCTGCTCTTTTTGGCTCCCTGGCTGATGCCAAGCAGTTTGCAGCAATCCAAAAAGAGCAGCTGAAGCAGCAATCTGGTAAGTAGAGGAGCCAATAGCAGCAGATGCCATGACCTAGAACCGGGTCTTCCAGAGGAAGGATTCTTTAGAAAATTAACCGCAATTAGAACTTAAGTTTGGGGCGGAAGTTGTTTTGCTTTATTTTCTGTCTGTCTGTCTGTCTTAGTTTGTTGTTGGTTTTCATGGCTTGTTTTGTTCAAGGGACTTCCCCGTGCTGTCCACTCACTCACGTAAAAAGAGCTTGACTGACAGGTGGTTCCACAGGGGCAGATGGCAGCTGTGATCCCAAACTGTCAAATTGTTTCATTAAAGGAGAAAGGAATTGTCTAGTAGTAGCTTTTTAACATAGGAAACCAAGGCGGTATGGTGAGCCAGCTGCATGCAGTTGTAGAAATCATATATAAGAGAATCATAAATGGTTTCTGATATTTTAACAACAACAAAAAAAAAAGGATTGTTCTTAACCCAGCACTTCATAAGAACTCTTGGGTGAAGTGTATCTTTGGTTCTGCTGAGTGGCCCCCCTTGTAACTCACTGTTGTTAGGACAGACTGCTAAGAATCTAATCCTTAGTTTTAATATGAAAAAAGAAAAACAAAACTCAGAATAATCTCTCAATAGCCAGAAAAATGGCTTTCCTCATTTGGAACTGAATTTAAGATCCAGTACAGCTTCTTTCTATCTGGAGACAGACCAGAGCAATTAGAATATATTTCTGAAACACATTGTCTACTGGGAGAGTCACATTGACTCAAACTAAAAATGACCCTCCCTTCCCCAAAAATAGTGGGTTTTGTTTTTTCCTTTGATAAAAGGGAGAAATAGTTTACATTTTCCCTTCACTTATTTAAAAAGTGTATAGTTCGGGTCCACTGCTGAGTTTGGCCTTGCTTTGCGATTAGGATCAAATAGACAGGAGGGAGAAGCAGCAGGCAAGGGCAGAAGAGCTGGTGGATGAGCCTAGAGAAGTAAGCACAAGGCTTCGCTGGCTGGGAACAGACTGGAGCCGAGAGCACTGTGAGTGGCAAGCTGTAGGAATAAGGCAAGAACATGCCGTTCTTACTGGCTTGGGACCTCCTCACCTCAGTTTGTTTACACTGGGTTCCTTGTGCCACCTGGTCCAACCTGTTTGTCACCAGCAGTTAGTATTCTGCCAGAACCTTTGGCCTCCTATGCTGATCTTCAAATCTGCCAAACTTATACAGGGAAACATCTCTTACTTCTCAGAGTTTGGTCCAGATTTTCAGAATAGCACTTTGTCAAGAAAGAAAAGAAGTCAGCTGGGTACTGGAGGCATACACCTTTAATCCCAGCACTCAGGAGGTGGAGGCAGGCAGATCTCTGACTTTGAAGGCAGCCTGGTTTACAGAGCAAGTTCCAGGACAGCCAGGGCTATGCAGAGAAACCCTATCTTTAAAAAAAAAAGAAAGTTGTCCACCTATAAAACATAAAACATTAAAGGATGTCAGTTGATAAGAAAAAAAAGGTAGGAAAAAACTAGAAGACAAGATGTGACAGTAATTTAAATACCAAATGATAAAAATTCCAGTCTTAGTAATCTATAGGAAAATGCCCATTGAAACTACAGTTAGGGGCTGTCGAGATGGCTCAGTGACTAGAGGCACCTGTTTCCAAGCCTGATGTCCTGAGTTCGGTCCCTGGAACCCTCATGGTGGAAAAAAAGAAGACTACAGCAAGGTGTCCTCTGACCATGCATGTGCTCTGTAGCAAGCATGCAACCAAGATACACCTGCTAAAGAAATGTAATAAAAACTTAAACAATTACATTTTTGTTTGTTTGTTTAAAATGTCATTCTCATCTTTATTTTTGGTCATGAAGATATTTTAACAGCCTTAGTTTATGTGTATAACTATAACATCAAAAGCATTGCAGTTTTTAAAAAAAAAAAAAAAAAACAATACAGCCGGGTGATGGTGGTGCATGCCTTTAATCCCAGCACTTGGTAGGTAGAGACAGGTGGATCTCTATGAGTTTGAGGCCAGCCTGGTCTACAAAGTGAGTTCCAGGATAGCCAGAACTGTTACCCAGAGAAACCTTGTCTCGGAAAAAAAAAAAATGCAATCTTATTAGAAAATTCCTCAGTGTTCACTAATGTTTCCTTCACTTTAAATAATTGTAAGTACCTGGGTGGAACGATGTGTTTCCACATACACTGACAGTTATAATCAGGGTCTGTATATAGAAACATTGTTTTAACCTACATACATATCTTATACACACAACAATAAGTAATTTTTTAAGCCTACACAGCAGTGGTACTGGTCCTTGGGACTTAAAAGCAGATTCTCTTCATCCACACATGATATGAAGTGTCCACCTGGGAGAATTAGGAGAATGCATGCAGCAGGGTTAGAGAGGCACTGAGTAGGTTTGTGATGGTGGCACTGTCCTCACATTAAGTAGCAGAGCATTCGGGGCATGGTAACTGTTGCCACTCCACATTAACTAGTCCTCAGTGGCAGGTACTGCCTAGTCCCTCATTTCATACAGAGCAGGTGCTTAAAACGTGTTGGCTGGATTGGAGAAATGGCTCAGGTTAAGAGCATTGGCTGCTCTTCCAGAGGTCCTGAGTTCAGTTCCCAGCAACCACGTGGTGGCTCACAACCATCTATAATGAGATCTCATGGCCTCTTCTATCATTGTATACATAGTAAAAAAAAAAAAAAAAAAGTGGACCCATGTGCAGGAGTATGATATCAGGACCCAATAAAGAAACAACAGCTTGACTTAAAATAGTTCACATATTTATATCTTCCTAAAGAAAGCTTGTATGTATGTGTCTGGTAGATGTTGAATTGATGGCGTAATGTTAAAAACTGGCCAGAATTAACCCAGCACCCAAGGCTCCCAACATGTCATGTTAAAACATCTCCACTGAAGGGATTTCAGTAATCTAAAACTTTCATACCTGACTGGCCAAACCAGTCTCCCTAAAGTTAAAGAAGTACAAGGAGTTTCTAAGATCAGGAATCGTGTGAGTGTTTCGCTTTCCTCAAATGAAACAGTAAATGCTATAGAGATAGCATGATTTGTCAAGTCAACATCAAAGCCCAAAAACAAAAGAACAAGGTTATTTTCAACTGTGTTAATAGAACTGCCAAAGTTTACAGTTCAGACTCGCTTCCACCTGCCTTTGTATACCTTGTCAGTCTCGTCTTCTTTTGTATCATGAGGACACTCATGAGCCCACGCTCCCCTTGGCCCAGTGGCATCTATTGCCACATCAATGACCGAATCGGGAGTCATCCATCTCAGGAACATGAGGAAAAGATAGCTGAACACAGCCAGCAAAGCAAAGCTGTGGCCTGTAAGTGGGCCGCAGTGAGAGACGAGCCTGTTCAGCCTCTTATGCATTGGCAGCACAGCTTCCTTCCCCGCCCTCTCGTACACCTTCTCGGTTCTCTCCGCCACATTCCGCCAGGTGTAGAGAGCCTTTACTGCATTGTGGATATTTTCTGCATCCGGCAACATCCCTGACTTCACTTGGAAAATAGCTTTTTCCAGCCCTTTACACAAAGATCTTACTGAAGGTTCGCATAAAATAATAAGATTCTCTGGAAGGACTTCGGGAATCCCACCAACCTTGGTGCTGACGACCTGTAGACCACAGCTGGCGGCTTCCAGGATTGCCATGCAGAAGGCTTCGGTCAGGGAGGTATTAAGAAAAATATGGCCTTGAATTAAGACATTTCTGACATCCTTGTGTTCTAAAGCTCCCAAAAGATGCACCCTGTCATGTAGTTGGTATCTTTCCCGTACTTCTTCCAAAACTATACTCTTTGGCCCCTCTCCTCCAATTAGGAAATTTAACTCGGGATATTTCTGACAGAGTTCAGGTATAATCCCACTGAGCAGGTCGATCCCTTTTCTGTAAACAAGTCTGCTCACCACAACAATAGTTATCCTGCTGTCCTGCCTCCCAAGTGGCCCTGGGGTGAAGTCAGTAGGATCCACAGCATTAGGAATGACAGACACTCTTTCAGGATTCAGTGCTGCTCGTAGGACAGTGTTTTCCTTACTTGTATAAGAGACACAAATGACGTGGTTTGTGTCACAAAGCGACACAGTTAGAAGCTTGTTTGTGAGCACCGAGCTGACATCAGCAAATCCGAAAAGGGAATGGTCTGTGAAGACTGTCTGAAGCCCCATTGTCTTGGCGTGGAAGAGGGCATCATGGGCCATGGCAGAAAAAGAACTGTGGGAATGGATTATGGTAACTCTCTCCCGAACAAATATGTACCTGAGCAATGGCAGACTGTGAAAGAGAGTCGTGGCTGTAGATTGGTTGTACATGACTCTGAGAGGCAAGTAATAAACTTTGAGGCCATTGGTGAGGTAACGGATGCCCTTTCGATTTCCGTAAGCATGGGTGACGATTATGACCTTGTGCCCCCTCTCGATGAGGCACTGAGAGAGCTGGTAGATGTGGCTTTCCACACCTCCCATGTTTGGGTAGAAAAAGTCAGACACCATGCATATATTATGTGTTGGGGTGCTGTTGGTGGAAAGACTTCGAGGGGTCGAAAACTGGGAAGGGGTCACTGAGGGGGGCTGGCCATGCCCACCTCCTCTACAGGCCATGCTGAGTTGGTTCAGGAATCAGTTCTCAATAAAAGCTGGTTAAGAAATGTGTCTTCTGCCACCTGAAGCTCATACTGTGATCATTTTTCTCCGTATTGAAGGGCAGCAGCGCTCAGTTCCCTTTACGTTTTTCTTGACCTCTCTTGTTCTGTAGACCTTTCCTCCATGCGTACCTTGTTTCAGTGTAGATTCCTCTGTTTTCATTCCGCCTCTGTAACTAGATCACATTTTATTAAAATTAGGAGACATTTTCTCAAACTCCTAGCTAGTTGTGTAGATAAAATCAGTCTCTTCGAGAATAACTTGTGTTAACTTTTAAAATACTTAAGCTCTTTAAAAGTTTTTTTATTGCATTCATTTAGTGTGTATATGTGTAGGGCAGAGAATAACTCCGGTGTTCAGTTCTCTCCTTCCACCATGTGGGCTCCAAGGATTGAACGCGTGGCACCAAGCTTGGCAGCGAGTGCCTCTATCTGCTGAGCAATCTCACCCACCCTGTGGTTCTCAAGCTCTTTGAGCCAACAATTCTACTTCCCAGATTTTTGTCTTACAAAAATACTCACCCACGTGAACAAAAACAATCAGATTACACTCAGTGCTGTATCTCTTAAGATCATGAAACCCTGGAACAGGTCTCATGTTCATCTGATGAATAAACATGGAGTTTAAGTGACTACATAAGTCATAGTAAAGGCAAAAAGTACATTACTACACAACTGTTAAAAGAAATGAGCTAGTGCTGGCCTATAATCTCAGCTACTCAGGAGGCTGAGGCAGGAGGATCGGAAGGTCAGGTCATCCTCCCCGACTTAGTTTAAGGCTGGTCTGGGCCAACATAAGACTATCAAAGACGAAAAACAGGGCTGGGGACATAGTTGAATTGGTAAAGTGCTTGCCAATCAAGCACAAAATCTGGGCTTAATCCCAGGTGCAACAAGAAAGCAGGTGTGTGTGGTGGTGGAGAAAAGGGGATTACAAGTTCAAGATCATCCTAATAGGGAGTGTGTGGACAACAGGAAACCCTGTTTCAGAAAACACAAACACAGTACGTGGAATGAAGAAGGCCTCTGAATGACTCACAGGAAGGCCTATGGAGGGCTAGAGAGGTGGCTTAGCAGTTAAAGAGCATGTGATGCTCTTGCAAATGGCCTGGGTTTGGTTCCCAACACCCACATGGTGGCTTGTAACCATCAGCAACTCCAGTTCTGGGGCTTCAGTGCCATCTCTGACTTCTTCAGCCATAAGGCACACACATGCATTGCATATACATACATTCAGACAAAACACCTATACCAAAAAAAAAATTTTTTTTAAAGCCAGTTGAGAAGCTAGAGAGATGACCCAGTGGTTAAGGGCTGCTCTTCCAGAGGTCCTGGATTCAATTCCTAGCACCCACATGGCAGCTCATAACCATCTATAACTAGTACCATGGGATCTGTTGCCCTCTTCTGGTGTGCAAGCATACTTATAGACAACACACACACATACATACATGCATGCAAATGTGTGTATGTATGTATATATGAAATCTTTAAAGCCGGCTGAGGGGCTAGTAAGATTACTCAGTGGGCAAAGGCACTTGCTTTCCAGTCCTGATGACCTGAGTTTGATCCTTGGAAACTACATAGTGGAAGGAGAAAAAGAACTCCCCCAAGTTGTTCTGAGATCTCCAAATGCATGTCATGGCACATAAACATATACACACATACAAAAATAAGTAAATTATCAAAAAATGTTCTAAAGTATGGTACAAATCTGTCATTAACAACAAAAAAACATGGAGAGATGGCTCAGCATGTGTATTTCCGCACAGTGCATACATACTCATTAAAATCATTAAAAATGATCCCAGTGACATGACTCAGCAGATAAAGGTCCTGCCACCTTGTCTGATGACCTAAGTTCAGTCCCACGACCCACATAGGAGGAGAAAACTGGTTGCTACAGACCGCCTCTGACCTCCAGGTGCACACTGACACATTCCCACACACAAAAATAAATGTCAAAGAGACAGGAAAGGCAGCTGAAAAGCATAACAATTCTTTAAATAAAAAACAGTGGTAATGAACGCTAGCACAAGAGTCTGGAGCACTGCAGAATTAAGCAGCTATCTATAAGGTACCAATTGGACAAGCCCTTCTACAGGATATATTCCTGAGTGTAAAATTACCAGAACAAATGTATTCTCCAAGGAAAGGCCATACATTTAAAATAATTACTGTCATTTGATCTATTTGATAATTATTTTTTTCTGTAAAAATGTTGGATAATGTTGCTAATTTTGGCAGGGTGGAAGAAATAAAGTCCAGGCTGGTCTACAGCGTGAGTTCCAGGACAGCCAGGGCATACAATTATGGGTGGAAGAAATAAAGCTTACTGTATAGAAGGCCAATTTCAGAAGCCTACACTCACTTGCCTGGCTTGAGTTGCTCCCTAGTGAGATGAATGTTTCACACCTGCAGTTGTTCTGGCGGCTACATTCGTTCTAGGTAGTGTGTGTGTCCTAAGGGAGGAGCATACTGTGTAACAGCTTACATGTCCTGGCAGATGAGCTCCCAGCAAGCCCAGATGATTCGGATAATAGTGTGTCAGAGAGCCTGGATGAATTTGACTACTCTGTGTCTGAGATTAGCCGCTCCTTCCGGTCACAGCAAGAAATATGCGAGCAACTCAACATCAATCACATGATCCAAAGGATCTTCCTCATTACTCTGGACAACAGTGAGTTGTGGACTTACACCCACCAATTGATTGTCTCTTCTTCCCTCTTGGCTTGGTCCAGGGACTACTTTGGCTCTTAGAAAATTGCTGTGTCTAATGGTTAAAACCACCCCTGTCCTCTCTGGAGCACAGGGTTTAGTTTAGTAAAGTTTTTAAAAAACAGCCAAGAGGTAGTGGCACACAACCTTTCATCCCAACACTTGCAAGGCAGAGGCAGGTGAATCTGAGTTCAAGTCCAGGCTGGGCTACAGCGTGAGTTCCAGGACAGCCAGGGCTACACAAGGAAGACCCGTCTCAAAAAAACAAACGGTATTTCTACAGATCTAACTTCTGTTGCCATTTTGGTGCTTACTGGGCTGTGTGACTACATGTCTGTACTATCTTTAAAAGGAAGTAGAAAGAGTAGCTAACCCTGATTTCTTCTTCCATGGATGCTGAGAAGTCCAGATGTGTTTTACCTCTGTGCCCTGGCTGTAATTCAACCCTAAAGTTAATGCTAGTATCTGGAATTTTCTTCCTAAATGTCATAACAGTATGCTGTGTAGCTCCTTTGTGTATTGAGATCACTGTAGTGAATTCAGGAGACTTGCTATCAAGGTCAGTTGCTGGAAGCTGAGCACAGCTGTACATGCCTTTAGTCTCCACTGCTGAGGAGGCTGAGGCAGGAGGGACTACTTGAGCCTAAAAGTTAAGGACCAGTCTAGGCAACATAGCAAGACCCTGTCTCAGAGAGAGAAAACAAAACAGTGTCCTGAGGACAGAAACACTACCCTTAACCCATCAGATTAAAACTGTTTCACAGGTGACCCAAACTTGAAAAGCGGGAATGGCATCCCCAGCCGTTGTGTGTATTTGGAAGAAATGGCAGTAGAGCTGGAAGATCAAGACTGGCTTGATATGAGCAATGTCGAGCAGGTACCATTTCTGATTGTGTGCCCTCAGCAAACCACAGCCATGCTGCTAGATCCTGTTCATTCTCCAGACACTATTTGGCTTGCTTCCACCTCTTCCTATTGTGTGTGATATTCCTCTGCCCACATGTCCAAACCCACCCATTCTTTAAGAACCAGTTAAAATGCCATCAAAGTTGCCAGAAAATAGTTGTTCATTCCCTCCTCTGAGTTCCTTATCCACTTCTTATACTTCTTATGGGAACTATCACTGTCTCTAATGGCTTGTTATTGAACCTCCCCCATCACTCCCATTAGATTCTTAAGTTCCTAAGATAAGCCCATCTCTTTCTCACACACTTTCAAAAAAAATGAAAATCAGGCTGGGGAGATGGCTCACCAGCAAGTTTGGTTTCCCAGTCCAGTCCCACATGAAGTTAGCTGTGTCCATATGGGACAACAAATGAGAGGGAGCAGAGAGAAGAGGGCCTGGGAACTGGCTGACCTTCCAGCGAGCTGAAGAATGGTGATCTCTAGGTTTAGTGAGCTCAGAGGAATAAGGTGGAGAGGGACAGAGCAGGACACCCAGTGTCCTCTGGCCTCTTTCCAGCCCTCAGGAGATGAAGGGCAGAAAGCTGTAATTGTTTCCCAGGGTGCCAGAGCCCTAATAAGTGTACTGTACCTTTGAAAACCTGATTACCAGCTGGGCATAGTGGCAGATACTTTTAATACCAGCATTGGGAGTCAGAGGCAAGCAGAGCTCTGTGAATTCACAACCAGCCTGGTCTACATAATGAATTCCAGGACAGCCAGGGTTACTTGAGAAACCCTGTTTTGAAAAACAAAATAAAGAGCCTAGAGAGAGGGCTCAGCTATTAAGAGCATATCCTGCTACAGAGAACCCAAGTTCAATTCCTAGCACCCATGTCATATGGCTCATAGCCGCCTGAACTCCAGTTCCGGGGTAACCAATGCCTCTGGCTGCCATGAGCACCTATAGGCATGTGCACATACCCATACAGACACACAACACATACACATAATTTTTAAAAAAATTTAAAAATTGAATGGTCTGCAGAGCAAGTCTGTTCTCAGAGAGGCTACACCGAGAAACCCTGTCTCAAAAAAGACAAAAAAAAAAATTGAGAGGAAAGACTGATAACTTGGCACTTAACTTTCACATTTCAAGTGTCTCTAAGCCCAACAGTCACACAGAAAAGTAGATTTCATGTTTCGTCAGTAATTAGTTTTTAAAATTTAATTATTTTTATGTGCATCGGTGTCTGACCTGTGTAAGGGTATCAGTCAGGTCCTCTGGAACTGTAGAGTCAGTTGTGAACTCCCACATATGTACGTGCTGAACACTGGTCCTCTGGAAGAACAGTCAGTGTTCTTAACCACTCAGCCATGTCTTCAGCCCCTCAACACTGATTCTTAACACCATTCAACAAGTGACCTTTGGCTGTTACTACCCCAGACACTCGAGTCCTACTTTATAATAACTATGTATATAGTTAAGTCCTAACATTTTTAGGGTAATTAGATATTGAAACCTACCCTCCCCCTTTATTCTGAACTACATCTGATTCTTGCCAAAGCATGTATC